ATAGAATAATTTTTAGTCATTTATTATTACACTTCCTATTTGTATCGGATTTTGTTCATAATCTCATGGTTGTTTTTGCGGGAAAATGCTAACGCACCCACCTTGCTGGGGCAAGAACGGGTTATGTCGGATGCGCACCGCCTAAAACTTCACCTTCGCCGCATATTGTCAGGGCTATGGGAACGCTTTCGCACACATCCGCGGCATTACAGCAACACCTCGAGGGAGGGATTCTCTTCACCCTTTTCTTTCTCATTTAAGACGCACCAGGAAGACATGGTGTGCCTTTCTTCGCGGCCTCTAACTCCATCTGGCGACCGAGTGGCGCATCGCCCTGCCAACACTCCTCTTCCCCTGCAACTCCACGTAAGCTACAGTGGTAGGGGGAGAGAACACTTCTCTCCCCTCAGCCCATCAACAGCTACGACAAGGCAGGTCTAGGTCTAGCCGTTTCGGATATTAGCCGCAACAAACTGACAGAATAGACAGACAAAATTTTTTAATATTTTTTAACTTCCCATACCATCTATTTGTTTGTAGAAATCATTCTTCCACAATGAGTAACCAGTTGTGAGGTAATCTTTTAGTAATACTGCAGTCTGCGGGCATGTTGTTTCCTTCCAGCTTCCTAGTCAGAATTAAGATGCATTCTTCAGAAGTTAAGCACGTAAATGGTAACTGGACATCAAAACTGACCGTAGTTTCATTGTCAGTAAAATGTAGGTCTTTTATCTCGCTGACAAAATGGTACTTTATCTCGCTGATAAAATTGATTCTTTGTTGCTCTTGTGTGTCCTCTCAGCGGTGACAGTATTTTTAGGAGTACTTCTTTATTAGATCGCTAGTTGTTTTAAATGTATTAGTTGAAGGGTTGACATGCATTGGGGCAACGTGGCGGATACTCTCTTGCCCTAAAACTCTCTCAGAAATGAGACTAGGCCTGTGCCCAGCATTGGGACGTATATGGGCTGACTTTAACGTTTGTACTTTAAAGGGCCTAATTTAATTTAGTCTTCAGTAGTTTAAATCTTGAACAAAATAAATAAAGTTAAACAAATAACTTACTAAATTTACCGAATAGGGAACTAAAGTTTGAACCAAAGAGCCCTGCACTATTTATATAACTGTCTAGATAAACGAAGTCTAACTGAGCAATTAGAAATGAATATCAGACGTTTGTCTGCCTTTTAAGATGTTATTGTTGTGAACTTATGAAAGTTTAGTAAAGAATGAAATTTATATAACAAAGTAAAATTTAATTATTTATTTGATACACTTTTCTAGTAGGACTAGAAATTAATCATTCTTATTATTCATACAATCTTGCATCACATGAGCCAGTATACAGTACACAGAGGATCCTGGGCTTGTACCTATTATAGTAAAAGTAGTAAGAGTTTACTATAATCGCCACACATAGCAGGCGGTTTGGGAAATACAGCACCAGGTATTTCACAACTCTGACTCATTTCCCGTCATCAGTCTGGGTTTGGTGTTTAATATCTGGTGAGTGGTTATAGCGCCATCTATCTATAGGTCGTGATATCTTTTTAGCACAAATGCGATGAGTGAGAGGCGAATGTAAGTAAGAGTATTCATCACCCTCTGTTGGCCCTTATGTCTTATGTATCATGAAGTACAAAAAATACGTCCAATAGCATTTTCATAAACTTTAATGATGGCAGATATTATTATTATTATTTTGTATGGTAATTTTATTATTTTAATAATGAATAAATTCGAGCAAAATAGTTAAACTCAGACCACCTGATCAAATTAGTAATTTGATCAGGTGGCTGGCCGCAAAAAAGAACCCTTCTATCGTATTTTCTTAATTTTAGGCACTTTCTTCGTTGCCTTAGCAAGCATCAGAATGCTTGGCGTCAGAATATTTCGAGAGATGTATAGTTCCGCAGTTACTTGGAAGGGAAAGCTAAACTGGCATTAAAAAAAGATTAGTATGCTCAGTAGATTGAAACGGTATTTCATGCCGGCACAACGCTTGCTGCTTTACAAAGTGCAGATTCGGCCTCGTATAGAATACATTTCTCATCACTAGGCCTCATCACTTTACCGTATTCGACAGATAGCGACCCGTATCGTCGACGACGAAGTTCTTTCCCATCGGTTTGATCCACTGGTCTTGCGAAGAGACGTTGCACCTCTGTGCACCTCACGGGAAGTGCTTAGAGGACTTGTTCGCATTAATTCCAGCTGCAGAATTCCACCATCGCACACTGCGACAAAACTCGAAATTTCATCCTAATCATCGCAATGGCTGGCGGTCCACTACTATGCGATTTACGCGAAATTCTCTAACTCGCACGACGAAACTGTGTAATTTACTGTCTCCTGCGGTTTTTCCAGACCTTTTTGACTTAGTAACCAACAAGAAAAGAGCTTACTTCTTTCTAAAAAGCTGGTCTCCTGGTATAGCAGATGTTAACGGGCGATTGTAATCAACTACGATGAGGTGAGTCGTATTCTCGGTTGCCTTTTT